CCTCTCGGAAGTCCTCCACCTCCATATCCCCTCCCGCACGGGCTTCTCCCGAATCTCCAAAAGTGCTCATTGGCTTGTCGGAGGAGGAGCTCCAACAGCTTGCCGTAGACTTGGGCCAGGTAACAAACAAAATTCACTATGTTACACTCTAAACGCCTGTTGTGAATTGCTTGCGTTTGATGGAGGTTTTTTCCTTTGTATCGTTAAAATTTTCTATTTGAGATGGATTAGGAGAAGTATAGAGGGAAGCAGCTCCACCAGCTTATTTACAAGAGGAAGGTCAAGGAAGTCGAAGAGTTTACCAACTGTCAGTGTTCTTTCTTCTTATTTGCTTGATTTCGCCGGTTTGCTCATTATCTTATCATAGTGATTCGGGTTGATTGCAGTGCCACTGGCATTCAGGAATGGTCTTCAGGAAGCTGGATGGAGAGTCGGCCGTTCGCCTGTTTACCAGTCTGTTACTGCGTCTGATGGGACCGTGAAGGTAGTTTGATATTACAATTTTCTGATTGCATTCTTGTTGAATTGTTAAAATTTTATCAGGTTAAGTAATGGTTGAATGTTTTTATTGCATGTTCTTCTGACTTTAAGCATCAAATTTTTTCAAAATTTTGCAGTTATTGCTTAAGTTGGATGACAACAGGCTGATTGAGACAGTCGGCATACCTGTGGAAGACAAAAACAGTAAAGGGTCAGTTCGCCTTACTGCTTGCATCTCATCACAGGTAATATTCATATCTGGTCATTCAAAGACATGAATTTTGTGATTTACATGTTCGTCAGCATATCTTCTTTTATAATTTGGGCAAGTAGTCTTTCTCTACTGACTCTCAAACATTAAGGTTGGCTGCCCACTGCGCTGTTCTTTTTGTGCCACTGGAAAAGGAGGATTTTCTAGGAATCTTCAAAGACATGAAATTGTCGAGCAGGTATTTTGTCTCTTTCAAATGCTGCTTCATGTCCCATTACGAACTGTTACTGTTCTGATATCTTTTTGTTTCCGAGATTTGAAAAAAATGAAATTGTGTCATATAATTAATCCTCCCTGTTGTGATTAGTTGCATCCTATATGCACAGGTATTTGCAATTGAGGAAATTTTCAACCATAGGGTGACAAATGTAGTATTCATGGGAATGGGCGAACCGATGTTGAACATGAAATCAGTGCTTGAAGCGCATCGATGCTTGAACAAGGTTTATTTTAATAGATTCATCTTGTCCTAATACTCTAGGATAATTTTTTGTTTGCTATTTGATTTTTTCCTTAACTTTTCTTCTTTACTTTCTCTTTACCCCGTTACATATATTGCAAGAGGGGACTTGGAAGGGTAAAATTCGATTAGGTTGTTTTAATAGTCCAGACTATTAAGAGAAGTAAATCTGGGAAGCTGGAGAGGACTCCGAGGCCTGCGTCTTCACACTCTAGTAAAAACTTTCATTGAGAGTGAAATATACGGGGGAAGTATCTCTAGAGCACACTGCATTACAAGAATCCTCTCAATTGGTAAAAGTCGTATGTAATTATGAGAAACCTCACGAGAGAACTTTGAGAGGTGAAGAAAAATAACATTCTTCAAGAACTGCCCTGAAAATTTATTCACCTGGCACCCCATGAAACAGTTTTTTACTCCTTTCTAACCAATGCCTCGTAAAAAATTCTAATAGCATTGAAGCACAGGATATTTAATTTGCTTTTGAAAGGGTGTTTGTGCTTCACTTATCTAGAAGCGACCAATCGAAAGAGCTAGATGACACAACAAAAGTATGGATTTTTTGAAGAAGAATTCTTAGATTCAATTGGATTGCAAGATACATGTATTCTATTTGAGTCATCCAGAGACATAAGGAGGCATAGCTTGGCTTTTATCCCGATTATTTACACTGCCCAGGAGGAGAGACCAAGCGTAAACCTATCTCGACTTTTTGTATCCATACTTCCAAAGCTTTTTGTTTGTGCACGTAAGCATAATACTTTCTCTTAAATCATTCCCAAGCAATCCCCTAGAGTTTTGAGGCTCTATCAGTGTCCTGCATGTCCACTTTGAGTTTTAGGTTTCTTATGCCACATTCTTTATAGATTATAAAATTTGATCACATCCAACTGTTGTGGGTGGGAACTTGGGAGGGCTGGCTTTAAAGTTCCACCAGCTTTATTACATGCTATTTTTTACGTTGCTGAGTGTGCAATTTCTCATGAATTTTTTATATTTTTCCAAGGATGTTCAAATTGGACAAAGAATGATTACAATTTCTACTGTGGGCGTTCCTAACACAATTAAAAGGCTGGCGTCTCACAAACTTCAGTCAACATTGGCCGTCAGGTAACATATATTCTGCAGGAAAAGCATTCTTGTTTTTTTTTAAAGAGAGAACTATTGCCAGTGATATTTTCCAAGGGAAAAGTTTGCCTGTTTCCATATGGCATATACTTGCAATAGATAACAATATGTACGTTTTAAAAGTGTTGGATTTTTTTTTCTCCAGTCAATCTTTATTGGCTGGTTATACGTTGTCATCCCTTAATTTTCAATTGGTCGTAGCTGCGATAATTAGAAAATTTTGGCATAGTTTAATGTTATACTCAAAATTTTGTCATCCCAAATCTCTGAGTAGAGAGGTCCATGTATACAGTGATTGATTGCTTTCATGCAGTTCCATTACTGATATCTCTCTGATTCTAACTTTTCTTTTTGATGGTTTATATAAATAGTTTTAGAAATAAAGTTAATTAATAAAGAACACATGCAAAAGAGGGAGAGGAGAAATCCCTCCCAAATGCCCAAGGGCCTACACAAAGCTGTTCCAATTGGTATGAATTATAACCACAGAACGACTATAGAATCATTAAGAAATTATACTAGGCAGACCCGTTCTTGTAGAGTTCTATCTAGCACCTCAAAGTTCTTTCCCCTCCCAATCCGTAAGTTCCAAAGGTTAGATTTGATAGTGTTTATCCACGAAGTGTTAAGTTGCTATGAAGAGATGATTCATGGGCATTTGTAGGACGAGGTCCTTAGATTTTGTCTCTCGTTTTAATCCTACTTTGATTAACTCTTCATTGTAGCTTACATGCACCAAACCAGAAGCTTCGGGAGACTATTGTGCCCAGTGCAAAAGCATATCCTCTAGAAGCAATTATGAAAGATTGTCGTGATTATTTTGTCCAAACTAGTCGGAGAGTATCCTTCGAGTATGCCCTTTTAGGTACTGGAACCACTTCGTTCATTGTGTTCCTCATCGTAGATTCTGGCATCGTACATCTGACAAATTGTCTCCCCCCAATTTTTTGGATGCTTATCATTTGAACAGCTGGAGTGAATGATGCAGTAGAGCATGCTGTAGAACTTGCAAAGCTTCTTCGTGAATGGGGCGGTGGCTATCACGTGAACCTGATACCTTTCAATCCCATAGAAGGCTCCGAGTATCAGCGTCCATACAAGAAAGCAGTATGTTCTCGACCGATGCGCTATTTTCCATCATATATCAATAAGAAAATGTATATATTCATGTCCTCACTGATCCATACTCTTTTCTTCTATTTTCAGGTGATGGCCTTTGTAGCTGCTCTAGAGTCTCACAAAATCACTGTAAGCGTTCGTCAAACCCGAGGCTTGGATGCGAATGCAGCTTGTGGTCAGCTAAGAAACCAATTTCAAAAGAACCCTTTGCTCGCCGACACCGACAGTAGCCAGTCAGAATCAGCTGTAGCTGTTGCATGTTGATGTAAAAGTTCCCAGCCGTTTGCTATGTTGCATACACCCGACCCGATCGTTCTCTATACACCTAAAGGCTGGAAGAACCAATTTTTTTGTGGGGCGAAGGCACCTCAAGGAAAGCTTGATAGAGATGGATATGAAGGATGGAGGCAGGCAGCATATCCAGGTCCGGATGGTGCACTTATGAAGGTAATCTATTAGCGGTAATACCAATGGTGGCTTGGCTTCTAAATCTAAATCAGTAGTCTCTAAGAAAGAGAGCGACAAATCTGAAAGAGGCACATATTTACCTGCTTATCCATTGCCTGGAATTCTGCTTGGTAAATGATTTCATTGCATATTTCCTTTTTGAACTTGTTATTTACTCCCTATTTATTCATAGAATATATTTTGGTTCAATAAGATGTCATTTACTTATAGCTACATTTTGGAAACTGAAACAAGAAAACGAGTGAGCTTTACAATGTCTGAATGATGATGAGATTATTATGTTTTGACATATCGAAAGTAGGCTAAATTTTAACACCCGAGTTGTCCTTTGTTTTAACAAAAAGAAAAAAAAATAATACTCGTTCTTTCAAAATTTATAATATTATCGTTGGCTTAGAATATGAATGAATCTTAGTGATCCAAATTTTGGTTACAAGTGATTTGAAATTTTAAAAGATTTGTATGACAGTTTTAAAATATCGTCGACGAAATATTAAATAAATAATATATATATATATAACCTTCAAAATATTTAAAAATTAATTGATAATTAAATATACATTTAGAATTTTATGCCTATTAAGTTTTGTTTTATATGAATGAAATTTTACTTTCAATTATGTGTTCAGTCCATATATATTTAAACTTTATGATTATTGGATTTTTTTAAAAAATAAGTTAATAAAATTATAAAAATTCATGAGTTTCCAAAAATATTGAATAATTCAATATGTTGTTCTAACATATTTTTTTTTTGAAGCTGAAGGATGTATATATATTTTTAATACAACCAATAACATTTTTTTAGGACAAAACTTTATTGGAAAAAACTCGCATTTGAACGAAATACAGTTATAAAATTCTAAACCCTACCGCAGTAGTTTTCTTGCTCAGGAGTATCAGGAATCAGATCGAGGGAAAATTCTCTCTGCGCATTTTCTTGTCTTCCCGCTCTTTTCTTCAGGTAATTTTACACTTCCGATTTCTGGTTTCACTTTTTTGTAATCGATGTATTGATGAAAACGTATAGTTATTTCTCGATCGAATCCAAACCCGCACGAAAGTCTGCCTATAGTTGTTCATCGCCACTTTCTTTGTTTTGATCATTCGGAATTAGCTGTTTATTTTTACTCTTGTGAGTTATCTGTTTGCGTTTCATCAAGTAAAAATTTGGGAGAACTGAAGAGGAGCCTTTTCGTCGAACCCTTTCGATTCCCTTTTAATTTACTAGGTTACTTTCTTTTGCCCTTTCTCGTGTGGGTTTATGATCTTCAACATATTAATATGCATCTGGACGGGCACTCGAGAGGTTTAACAGTCGAATCGGGAATCCTAAGCCTGTGAAGTGTAGTTTAGGGTTTATCAGTCAGAAGCCCGTTTTCAGTTTAGGATGATGTGTGGGTTTCATTGGATTAACTACCATTCCTAGTTTTATTATTTTTCTATTAGATAGTAATTAGTTTGGATAGATAGGAAGTTCCTACAATATGCATCTTAATTGCAGTCCTCGCCTGATAATTGTTTTGGCCAGGTCGAAACATGAGAAGATACAGTCCACCATATCATAGCCCTCCAAGAAGAGGATATGGTGGTCGTGGAAGAAGCCCCCCAGGAAGGGGTTATGGTGGTGGTGGTGGTGGTGGGTATGGAAGACGAAGGGAACAGCCTCATGGTAGCCTTTTGGTTAGAAATATTCCTATGGATTGCAGGTCAGGATTTGGCCACTCTTTTTCAGCTACCATATTGCTTTGTCCAATTTAGGTTTCAGTTCTACTATTCTAATTTATGAATTTGTTGTTTTCTGTCGTTGCATTTTAAGAACTTGGCTTCTGGTTGTATTTGTACTTTTAGGCCAGAGGAGCTTAGAGCGCCATTTGAGAGGTTTGGACTTGTTCGCGATGTGTATATTCCAAAGGACTATTACACAGGGTAAGTGTCTTGTGTTTATTATTCTTATTTATTTTTCACACCACTCCAACCATGGTATATGATTGGTTTTATTAAGCTGTTATTCAGCCTGTTTCCTGAATGTTTACTTTTATATTTCTTGTGAGTTAGTTTGATAATGACATGTCTTTATATGGTTATTGTCTGGACTTCTGGATTTAATCAAGTCAACCTCAAACAGGGTTCGGTTGGTAATTTGATGTTTACTGGTTAAGCATTAAGCCAAGCCTTTTGCATCAGAAATTAAGCCTGATTTCTTTCTCTTGTTTGATGCTCTCAGCCATGTGTGCTAAGCTTCTTATTTAGACCAATCATGATCATAGTCTAAATATACAGAGCACATGTAAAGCTTTTCTTATTTTCATTTTAAGATTCTATTTTCCGAACAATGTCTAACTTTTTTTTTTTTCTTTCTTTGGTTTTTTATGTCTACATATGTAAGATGAAATAAACTCTTAAGCAAAGTTCGGGGGACCTTTTTCCAACTATTTTTGAACTCGATCAATTCTTGAGGGTGTATACTTGTGCAGTGAGTTCTAATTTGTTAGAGACAATTTCTAGATCATATGGAACATGCGGTTGAGTTTGATAGTTAGGGGCTGAAGAGGATTAAAAATGTCAAATGAAATTTCACCGGACCATATTTTTCTGGATAGATCTTATTCCCATTCCATAGTGTGTTAAAATTTGAACTGCTTTGTCAGGGGGCATATTGGTTTGAACTTTGAAGTTAAAACAAGCCCAAGCCCCTATAAATGAGGGTCTACTACTTTTCTCTGCCTAACATATAGCTCATCAAGAATGTAAGGTATAATATTGAAATGAGGGTGTCTCTCGCTGAGGAAATATTAGATTATGACACCCATCATTAGAAGTTGATGAGGAGGATGGTAGATTCTTGAGCAATTGAAGCCAACAAGGTGAAGGTTTTACGGTTGTGGAATGTTTGTTGAAGTGCTTCATGTTCCAAGTGTTTGAAGAATTTTCTACTCATGAATTGGTAGTTTCAAGTACTTGTATCAAGAAATGTGAATTTGATGAGGAAGAAGGTAGCCTATTGAGCAATTGAAGCCTACAAGGTGAAGGTTTAAGGTTGTGAATTGTTTGTTCAAGTGCTTCAAGTGTTCCGAGTATGTGAAGAATCTTCAACCCATGAATTGTTGGTTACTTATATCAAGAAATTTGAAGATTTTTCAAGTCAAGTTACATTGAATTGAAGTGCTTATATAGTTACAAGAATATGAAGATTTTTCAAGTCACTTGCCTCTTTCATGCTTGATTGTAAAGATAAGGTTAGCTACTGAACTTTGACATTAGCTGTGCTTTATATAACTCCAGCCTCAGCTTTGAAGAAAGCAGTCTGAAGTTAATATTGGAAATGAAAAGAAAGCTATTTAGTTTGTGGCATCCCGAATCCTTTTAGCGTTTATAAAGTATATTAATGTAACATTCTATCTAGTGACCTAATATTTTTATCCAGAATGGGTTTCTTACTTTGATCACTTTTTTTTTTTTTTTTGAATTCCTTGTAGTCAGCCTCGAGGATTTGCATTTGTGGAGTTTGTTGATCCTTACGAGGCTTCGGAAGCTCAGTACCATATGAATGGGAAGAAATTTGCTGGTAGGGAGATTGCTGTGGTCCTTGCTGCAGAATCAAGGAAGAGGCCAGAACAGATGCGCCAAAGGAGTAGAAGGTAGTCTGTTTGTTCCCTTGTTCCTCTTTTTCATAATGGTTTCAAGGGACTGCATATTTACAATGCAGACTCCCTTACATCTACTTCCAAGTTTAAGTTGCATGCTTGTTTGCGTGAAGTATATAGATTCTTGTTCATCTGGAAAAAAATCTCACATTTTTCTGCATTGTAACTGACCTGGTAGCAAGCACTCTACCTTATCAGGGGGTGGAAGGCAATTAAAATCTCTTGCTCTTTCCATTCACTGTGTTCAATGGCTAACAGCCTTTTATGATGCTTATTTAGTTGCAAGTTACATGTGTTTTACTGTTCTTTTTTTCCTTTTTGTAGGGGACCATCAGACTATGGTGGACGCCGTTCTTATTATGGTATGGGTACAAGTAATCTCTTTTCAAATTTTATGCACTTTTTATATAATCTTTATAGTTGAGTCAAAACCCCAACACAAAAAGTAAGAATATCTCTTATATTCAAATTCAATCTAGCTTATTATAGCTCTAAGCCTAAGTTAGGTGGTCTTTATAATATCCCTCAAATGGGTTTCAATTTGTTCCTCCTCTGAACATTTATGTGTTCGTGGAATTTAGGTTGCAATTTGTTCCTAAATTTCAAGCACATACTAAAGTTTGGAATCAAATCAATCATTAACTGTTTTACTAGACAAAATAAGTCCATGTTGGACTACTGTATTCAATGTTCAACTTGGTTTCAGATAGTAATTGATCACTTCAATAATTTTTTGGACAATATAGGGCGTTCTAGATCTCGTTCAGTATCCAGATCACGCTCCCCCCGTCATCCTTCAGGTTCAAGAAGTAGACACCGATCAAGGTAATCTATTTAAAACACATGGCTCATGTTTTGTGAATGCTTTAGGTAGTAGTAAATATGCCACATGGAATTGTCAGATCCTATTCTCCTGCTCCAAGATGGCGAGGCGACTATTCTGTTTCCCCTAGTAGAAGGCATGCAGATTACCCCAGATCGCCAAGAGGTGCTGCTCGTGAGCGAGATGGTGAGAGGAATCGACAAGTATATTCTCCAGGTTATGATAATGCTGATGGTCCTGATGTCGATGGGAATGGAAATGGATATCATGAGTAAGTTGAATGGTTTATTGATAACGTTAGTCTTATGGTTGAGAATGCTCTCTTTCATTTTGTTTAATCTTAAGCTTATCATCTTTGTTTACTAAGCTTGTTTAGAAATGTGTTCTGTTGTGTCGTATTTTTATTCGTCAATCCCTTTTCTCTGCTTTAGCAAGCCTGCATTTGAAGGGGAGGATGCACGAGCTAATTGGAGGCCTTCTCCTGATAGAACATCAAGATCACCTTCGGGGTCTCGATCCCGCTCTGCTGATGCGTCCCCAAGACACGGTAGATGATGTGAAACTATGGTTTCTAAAATCTAACATTTGTTACTCTGAAGTTAGTATCCACTATCCGTTTTAAGATTGTATTTTGTATGATGTTGTTAGCGATCGGATTTTCCAGACAGGCAAATTGGTTTGCTCATATTTGAAGCTTAAAATTATTATGGTAGGCCACCAAACCTCTTGCTACTTTTCTTGATTGTCAATGCTCTTCTTCCTCATATATCTATCTCATTTAGCATCATCGACGATACTGTCACCCTTCTCATTCATCTCTTTGTTCTTCACTAGCAATTTAACTCCATTATGTTTGGTGGAGACAGTTTTGAAATATTTCACATTTCAGTAATAGTTTTGAAATATTAGAAATAATATAGCAACTTCAGAAGAAGAATAGAATTATTTTTTAATGCTCATGTATTTAAATGGTGTTGTCGAAGGAGATAGGAGAATGTAATGAAATTTTATTACCTCCTTTCTCTCTCTTTTTTTTCTCATATATATATATAAATTAAATTAAAATTTAGTGTGTAGTTAATTCCTTATGGATTCTACAAATTTGAAAATGGAAAGATGATTAAAGTTTGTCCCTTAAATTAACAAACTTACCAAATTCAAATATTTGTCCTAATTTATATTTGAATTGAGGGCGAATCCTTCCATTACTCTTATTTCCATTTGAAAATTAGGATTACCAAAAATATAATTGTTTCGTTTTTCTCTATTTGATTTTCTTAAAATCAATTTTAAAAAATAAAATATTATTTAAAAAACAGGTTCTATAACTATTTAGTTTTTAGTTTTTAGTTTTAGAAATAAATAGTAACTCAAAGCATTATGACGGTTAAGTTTGAATCTCTTCGCAGTAAAACAATTTAATAATTAATATATATATATTAAAGTATGACCAATAAATCTCCCCTTGTAATTAGATTATCCAATTTTTTTTATTGAAATAATTGGTGAATTGTAAAAGAGAAAACAAAAAAGAAAAAGGAAAATCTTGTAAATTTTACATTCGGCCACCGCTAGAAAATAGGAGGTGGGACCCACACCCACGCATTATGGAAGAAGACTAAAATTTTAATAATAATAATAATAATAAAAACTCAACGGCACGCCGAAGAAGAAAATAAATTGTGAAATAAAATTAACAAAAATAAAATAAAGAAAGTGGAATAAAAGGCGCAGCTGGGTCGTTCGGTCTGAAGCGAACGCAGTATCGCTTTTCGCCGATTTCAGGGTTTCCAATTTCTTCGCCATTTCGGTATGTGCATGCTCTGTATTATTACTCCATTTCTAATCCTACAATTTTTTATTTTTTATTTTATCATTGTTTCTGTTCTTCGTTCTTTGTCTCGATCTGATTTGTTTCATAACTGTCTTGTGGAAGCTGCAGATGTATGTCATTGGGTATAAAGTCTGAGAAATATCGATTTGGAACAGTTTTCTTTTTGTCCTACTTTGATTTGGGAGTTTTGATCGGTAAGAATGGGATTGTTTAGAGCTGGTTCTGCCTTGGCAAAGATTGCCATTAGGAGAACTTTGGCACATGGGGGAGGATCATATGCTGCGAGATCACGTATTGTTTCCTCTCAGAATCGATATTTTCACACTACGGTTTTTAAGTCTAAAGCACAATCTGCACCAGTGCCTCGCCCTGTGCCTCTTTCGAAGCTAACTGATAGCTTCCTGGATGGGACGAGCAGTGTGTATTTGGAGGAGCTTCAAAGGGCTTGGGAGGCTGATCCCAACAGTGTTGATGAGTCCTGGGATAATTTCTTTAGGAATTTCGTGGGTCAGGCTGCAACGTCTCCTGGTATTTCAGGCCAAACAATTCAAGAGAGCATGCGTTTGTTGTTGCTTGTCAGGGCTTACCAGGTTAATGGTCATATGAAAGCCAAGTTGGATCCATTGAATTTGGAAGAAAGAGAAATCCCAGATGATCTGGACCCTGCCTTCTATGGATTTACCGGTGCTGATCTTGATAGGGAGTTCTTCCTTGGCGTGTGGAGGATGGCTGGATTTTTATCAGAAAATCGTCCAGTGCAGACTCTCAGGTCAATATTGACCCGCCTTGAGCAAGCATACTGTGGGAGTGTGGGATATGAATATATGCACATCGCAGATCGTAATAAATGTAACTGGTTGAGAGACAAGATTGAGACCCCAACACCAATGCAGTACAATCGACAGCGCCGAGAGGTGATTCTTGATCGTCTTATATGGAGCACACAGTTTGAAAACTTCTTAGCCACTAAGTGGACTACAGCAAAAAGATTTGGGCTTGAAGGTGGCGAGACTTTGATTCCAGGGATGAAGGAGATGTTTGATAGGGCTGCAGATCTTGGAGTTGAGAGCATTGTTATTGGAATGCCTCACCGAGGAAGACTAAATGTTTTGGGTAATGTTGTTCGGAAGCCTCTGAGGCAGATCTTTAGCGAGTTTAGTGGTGGTACAAAGCCTGTGGATGAAGTTGGACTTTACACAGGAACTGGTGATGTCAAATATCACCTGGGTACTTCCTATGATCGACCAACTAGAGGTGGAAAACATATTCATCTTTCTTTGGTTGCAAATCCGAGTCACTTGGAAGCTGTTGATCCAGTTGTCGTTGGGAAAACTAGAGCAAAGCAATATTACTCCAATGACACTGAAAGGATCAAGAATATGGGCATTTTGATTCATGGTGATGGTAGCTTTGCTGGACAAGGTGTAGTGTATGAAACTCTACATCTTAGTGCTCTTCCCAACTACACCACTGGAGGAACGATCCACATTGTTGTGAATAATCAAGTTGCTTTTACTACCGATCCTAGGGCAGGAAGATCATCACAATATTGCACTGATGTTGCCAAAGCTTTGGATGCCCCCATTTTTCATGTAAATGGTGATGACATGGAAGCTGTTGTCCATGTTTGTGAGCTTGCTGCAGAGTGGCGCCAAACCTTTCATTCAGATGTTGTTGTTGATTTGGTTTGCTATCGTCGGTTTGGACACAATGAGATTGATGAGCCATCCTTCACACAACCTAAAATGTATCAGGTTTGTACTTCCATTTTTTAATAATGATTTTGGATATGAATATTGTGGATTTTTCTTCTTTCTCCAGCTTCAGTTAGTTAGACTAATTCTCAAAACTGTATTGATGTTTCTTTCCAACTTGTTTCATCATGCTTGGCTCATGTATTCATGTTATTAGCCCATATACTCTTAGTATCTGTTACTGACCACTGAACTGATTGAGAACAGGTTATAAGGAATCATCCTTCATCTCTTGATATCTACCAGAAAAAACTTTTAGAATCTGGGCAGGTGAGCCAGGAGGATATCAATCAAATACGTGATAAGGTTAATAAAATCCTTAATGAAGAATTTTTGGCGAGCAAAGATTACGTCCCGAAAAGAAGAGACTGGCTTTCAGCATATTGGTCTGGTTTCAAGTCACCCGAACAGCTCTCAAGAGTTCGGAACACTGGGTATGGTAAATTTTATTATCTGATTTTTTCTTCTATTACTACTTCATATGTGATACTTTAGCAATGGAATTTATACTTTGATCAATTCTGCAGAGTTAAACCAGAGATACTAAAGAATGTTGGAAAAGCTATTACTGTATTTCCAGATAATTTCAAGCCTCACAGAGCAGTCAAAAAAGTTTACGAACAAAGAGCACAGATGATTGAAACAGGAGAAGGCATTGACTGGGCACTTGGTGAAGCCCTTGCTTTTGCCACTTTGCTTGTGGAAGGCAATCACGTCAGATTGAGTGGCCAAGATGTTGAGAGAGGCACCTTTAGTCATCGGCATTCTGTTGTGCATGATCAAGAAACAGGGGCTATCTACTGTCCTTTGGACCATGTTATCATGAATCAGAATGAGGAGATGTTCACCGTAAGCAACAGGTAAAGTTGATTATAATCCCTTTTTGCCTATGTATTCCAACAAGTTTCCTTTTGGTAGTTTGTATAGAATAGTTATTAGGGCTACCTGCCTATGTTAGAGTTGTTACCCAATGAGATGAGTAATCTGCATCTTCAAGTTCTGCATGAAGAATAGTGGAAGCATATTAGTTTGGGTTTGATCCAGATGACTCTCTTGATATCATGCCGCAGTGCTGGTGTTGTTAATTTGTCAGTGTATCACCTGTTTACTCTGATGTGAGCTTTTTAATCGAGGGAATCTGAGTATTGAACATCTTTTTTGAGTTGTACAACGTACTTTATTGAAGTAGTTGCTCTTACAAGCTCTCTTTTTTCTTGTCCAACAGCTCTCTTTCAGAGTTTGGAGTTCTTGGATTTGAGTTGGGTTACTCGATGGAAAATCCTAATTCATTGGTAATCTGGGAAGCTCAATTTGGTGATTTTTCAAATGGCGCTCAAGTTATCTTTGATCAATTCTTGAGCAGTGGTGAAGCGAAGTGGCTGCGGCAGACAGGGCTTGTTTTGCTGCTTCCCCATGGCTATGATGGTCAGGGCCCTGAACATTCGAGTGCAAGGATGGAGCGTTTCCTTCAGGTATCCATCGACGACCTTCTTCGTCTTACTCCTTTTTTGTTGAAAAAGAAGAAATTTTTTTTTGTTGTTACTCTTCTGTTTTCAGTGTCTTTCCTAAGGCTTGGCCTGATGCTCTCTTTTTTAATGTCTAAGTCAGTCATTTCTCCCTGCTTGATTGGTTTTTTTTGATGGACACATGTGAGACGTAAGGTTCTCACTGCAAGAAGCTAGTTTAGAGAAATGTTGAAACATTTTATTTCTATCTTGTTATATATTGTGCAGTATTTTTTAAAGAACAAGCGCAGTGCCATCTCGGGCTCAAGGGTGAAGTGCATAGAAAATCAAAGGTTTTCTTGTTAGTGTACAAAAGTTAATTTATTGAAGAGAAATTGTAGTATCACAAGTCATTAGATAATGGGAAATTTTAAATGAGAGATTTTGTAGGAGATAGTATAGATAAATGTTTCTTAGTTCCGTTTAGAAAAAAAGTGGCGCTGCTCACAATAGTGAGGTTCATCTTTAAGTAGTTAAGACTTGGCAACATGAACTTGAAATTGTGAGGTTTTTTGTAAAGAAATTATATTCCTGTTTAGATTTTAAAAAGTTCCATGACTATAATAAATAGTTTTGAGGAGCTTGACGTGACACTGCTTTGTGTAATTAATTTTGGTAGCTGTGGATTAGAACTTAACAAACTACCATTGAAGAAAAATGTGCCTGTATGTATTTCGCCCTTCTAAGCTTTTT